ATGCCATCAACTCCTGTTTGAGAGAAAACCTTAGCAGGGGATATACACGTGAAAACATCCTTATCTGCTCAGACAGTCAAGCGTCGATAAAAGCACTCAACAGCTTTGAAATTAAATCTAAACTTGTCTGGGAATAAAGTTTGTGAGGCTTTCGCGGCCCAGGTTTTATTGATAAGGGGTTTTCATTCGGGCTTAATGGCCGCCGTAACTTGGAATTTCTTCCTGGCGTTTCGCTAGCATGCATGGCTAGCATCTTCAGAGGTGCTTCCATGTCCGATTCTGGTAGCAGACTGACGCATTCTCGACCGTAAGTTGTATTTATGTGTGAGTGGCTGTGGTGGGGGGTTGGCGAGGCTTCGCGGCACGTGGTTGATCTCAACTCTCTCTGTACTCAATGGGATCTATCTTGCGTTTTTGAGGATCGGATTTGGTTAAGTTTTAGTGTTTCTTCTTTCCTGTTGAAGTTCTCCGTATGTTTATGGATTTCTATAGCTTCACGTACAAGACGATTGTGGTATCCGGAAGTCGGTGCAAGAAGCTTGACCTCACCAAAGAGTATTTCAGTAAGCGCATGTTCCGCAACTGGTGATTTTTCCGATTGTCCTAGTCTGCTCGTTCATCCTGGTTCCCATGGATCTTTTTGTCGTTCCTATGTATACCTTACCACATGTGGGAGAGAGGAAGAAATACCAACTTACGACGGCCATTAAGCCCGAATGAAAACCCCTTGTCTGGGAATGCTTGGAGAACCTAAGTATGGCCAACAAGGTAGCCTTAAATGGGTGCCAGGGCACAAAGGAATTGATGAAAATGAAAAAGCAGATGGTCTGGCAAGTGAAAGATCGGCAACCAGTTATACTGTTCCTGAACCGGCAATTGGCACCACAAAATCATCGGTAAGAACAAAAATAAACCAATGGGTGTATAGACAACACAAAACCTACTGGTAAACTCTTCCGAAGCTCAGACACAGTAAGCTAATGGTACAACAACCATCACCTATTTACTGAAGAAATCCTACAACTACACAGGAATTAAATCAGGCTAATAACTGGACTTATAACTGGACACTGTAGCCTGAGAAAACACCTTCACACAATGGGCATCCTCCAAGAAGAACCTATATGCAGACTTTGTGACGAGGAGGATGAAACCGCCACTAACAGAAGACCCTATCTCTAAACTTACCAAAAGTAACAAGGTGAAGAGGCTCCTAAACCTAATTAGAATCACGAAACTTTTCACTGACTAAACAGACGAACAGGACAATACAATAAGCCGACGGTTGCAGTGTTGAGGCCACCTAACCCAACCTGTTCATTCTGCATCTCAAACCAACCAACCAACCCATTACCTTCTAAGTAGGAAAGCAGGTCTTTCAATTTGGAAGCCCTGGAAAGGGATGTAATGTAATGCACAATTTGATTGAAAAAGTCGAAAAAGGTAGGCCAAAAGGTCAGGTCACCATCGAATTTGGGAACATTTAGTTGAGGAAGTGACTCTGGTTTTTGGGAATAAGTAGCAGGCCTAGCTTCTGCATTAGCTGCTGCGAGCTCAGCTGCTTGATCAACAGCTGCTGCTCCATTGATGGGTTTACAAATTTCATTGTAATACATTTTTGCATCGTAATAAAGAGTCTCTGCGTCTTTTCGAATCTTATTTTCCGCCCGAAAATCGTCATCTGCTTCGGTGAGACCTTTAATTTCATTATGTAGTTCGTTAAAATCATCGAATACCATGTTTAGGTCTTCAAATTTTGATCTGAAAAGTTCGATGTATTGTACATTTCGATTGGCGAGTTGTGCAAGTTTGAAACTTCAGCAATCCGGTCTGCGTATGCGCTTCGTTTGGCGTGAAGGCGCTTGAGAGTAGCCATGTGGTAAGTAGAAAGGTATTGAAATCTGATCCTTGTGAATTTTAATCTTTTGACACGAAAGTACCTAAATAAATTATAGGTAGGTAGATTAAAACGGTAAGTGTAGATTTTATACGAAAAAAGGGCAGTGGCGCACCCAGGTTTTTTATTTGGGGGGGGTTTTCATAATGATGAAGGCCACCCGAAATATTGAAGTAACTTTTTTTAAAGAAATATTAATTTATATAAAAATTAAAAAAAATTTAAAGGCCAATAATTAAGATAATTCTAATTTTTTTAGATTTAGGTTAGGTTTTAGTTTTCCCATTTTCCCCTAAACTTGACAAAACAACGAAAAAACAAAAAAACACTGGGTGCTTACCTTTAGAACCTTCAATATTTTGACGTTCTTTTTCAGTTTCTTCTGTAACTTGCAAATTACTTTAACGCTTTTTTGAAAAAAAGTCCAACATTATCTAACTGCCGTTTTGACATTTTCAATGTTGTAGCGTAGCTATAAATTCAACTATAATAGGGAGGTAAACAAAAAAACTAACACACACTGGCAATTTTTTCTTTAATTTACGACGCGAAGAGTGACAAAAATATGAAAGATTTCTCCAAGTTTCGATTTTTTTTACGTTACGCGTACGGGTACGGAAGCCGATTGCAACTTGCAACAACTCGTGAAGGTGCGTTTCCATAAAAAAAACAATTAAAACGAACGCTCGCGACAAAATAAAGTCTGTTTTTTTTTTAAGATAATTTCCCAAGTCAAAAATTTAGTAACTATGTTGGCAACACAAGCCTTTTCTACATAAAAAATTTGAAAGCATTGACAATTTTACATTGTATTGCCAACATAATGTCAATTTGACTTTTATCTTTAAAAAAAACACACTTTAGCTGCGCGAAAAAAGCTATTGTCACCGCCACTGTTTTTATAATCATGTGTATTTAAAAGAAAGAGAGTTTCCCACATGGTTGCAAACATTCTAAATTTCGTCTCCACCAATCAAATTAATTTCTTCACAAACATTGCTGATCATTCGCAAATTTGCAATCGTTTTGCGCGCGTGGTGGAAATGCACCTTTATATGACCGCGAATTGTGATGTAATGTTCGCCTTACGAGTCTAGCACTATGGAAAGAATGCGGATATAAAAATTGCACTATTGTCTATTTGACTTCCAATAGAAAATACCCTAATATTTATCTATATTACAGACCTACATTTATAAGGAAAAAGTATTATTTAAAAACGCTGCGCGCACGCCTATGACATGCAGCATAAAGCTCGAAATGAATGGCGTTATTTCCCCTTGCCCTTCAGACGTCGTAGTGCTAGACTCGTAAGGCGAACTATACGATGCCGGACCGGGTTGCCTGATTTCCATGTTCTTGATTTCGATTGCAGATTTCAGTAATTTCGCCTAACGTAAATAGGATAGGTATTTATTTATGTAAAATGGAAAGTTTGTAGGTACCTATTAACCAAAATCGCAAAAAAATATTTTAACCGGAAAATTCTTTGTACCAATGCTAAATTTCGGGGGGGGGGTTTTAACCCCCAAACCCCCCCCCCCTTGGGTGCGCCACTGAAAAAGGGTATAGATTTTTATTACAGAAATTGAATGCAACAGTAGGTATCTATTTGAAAAGAAATTCAGTACCTATTCGGCACTGAAAAAAAAAACCAAATAGCGAACACCAACAACAACAACCATAGAAATGAGGAAATACGTCGTTCCCTCTCATACTATCGGCGCTGCCAGCCAGCCGTCTTTGTTTTGTCTTTTGCCAGGGCTGGAATTTCAGCTCGAAAGCATCGTTCGAAAGCGACGCCGACGACCGACCGGTAGAAAAAAGACGAGAGCGCACCTATTTTAAATTTATTTTGTCGACTGATCTAAATTTGGAATTTGGACTTGCAATTCGGACACCTTCACGACACCTCGTGAGCTAGACGGATTAGTAGTGTAGGGGTGGGATTGAAGGAAAATAAATTTAAGAGATTTGGCTAATGGCGACACTCTGACTTGAAATTTGCGAATTTTATTAGTTTGACGATTCACTGATTTTTTATCCGGCTCGAAGGACCAATTTATTGTCCACGCATTAACTAAAAATGAATTGAACGGCGAACTTATGAAATAGAAATATTAAAAATCCAAAGGCGTCATACACAGCTACTCACAATTTTGCAAAGGGAACACTTACCGGCGGTTTTTGGTCGTCTTGTAGCAGGGATCCCTGTTCTTAGGCTCCAACCATATACATTAGCACCATCGGAAGAGAAAACTCCGATAAACGAAATCAATCGTGATTTAATATCCTTTTAAAATAAACAATTACAAAATGCCCGGCCGAAAGATGTCTGTCCACTCGGTACTCAAATTTTACCATCTTTGGTCTGTTTCAGCGCGTATGTGCCGCATACACGGAAGCAGCTGTGTGTTGAGCGCGAAATTCAAGAGAACTTGAGTTTGAACATTTTTGAGATTTGAATTAATGAAAGTCAACTATGCGTGAACACCTTCCAAACCTTGTTCTGAATTGAAAGAATCAATCCAATATTGACGAACTATCTTCTTTCAAAATAACCCCGCTCCTTCTAGGGCACAAACAATCAAATGTAAATGTGCGATGCACTACCAAAACTCGACTGCCGAAATCTGTCACTCTTTTCCGGGACAAGTGTGAAACGTAGAGGTTTTCTTGTGGAAACGCATCCGTTCTTGCCGTAGTGTTAAAAAAGCTATGTGGAACACCGGACTTATGCTGATGTTCCAAAACGCCGTCCCACACAACGCAAACGCATCTAGAATTTTTTGCAGCCGGGGCACTGGCTGCTCCCTTGTTTCAAGAATAAGGACCCAAAAGGCAAACTTAAGACACTCGTTAATAGGGAGACTACTCTAAGGGGCGACTGCATCTAGTAAATCTTGTTCCAAAAAGAAAGGCAGGTTGCTAGATGAGGTAGGAAAAAATTGGAATAGAGAATATTGGGAGTTTTTTTTTAGGAATAATAATTAAACAAAAAAAAAAGTTTAATTTTGTGATGTTTTTGTCCTAAGTGATAAAATTAAATAATTTGTATCTCTTAAAATTATATTTTAAACGAGCTAAGACATCTGTAAACTAAACAATCACAACATAAACAACAATAAAATAACTGTTAGCATAATAGTTTTTATTTCAATCAGCATCCTACTAAACACGCATATTAATCTAATGGAGAGATACCAATGGCAGGCTTCAGAATTCCTCGTTTGATTACATGAGGAATTTGTTTTGGAACCATCGTGATGCAATCGATAATGGGACAGACCGACATGCAAAGAGTACAACCGGTACAGTCGTCGTTGACTTTAGGAATGTGACTTTCCGGATCGAATCTGATGGCCTGATATCCGGAATCGTTACAGGCCATGTAGCATTTGCCACAATTGATGCACATGTCGTCGTCGATTAGCGCCACCACTTGCTGGGTGTTGTCTAGTTGCTTGTAGGCTCCTATTTTCGGAAGGGCACGTCCTATGATGCTGGTAATGGTTGTAGAATTATTATTAGTTGTTAAGTTAACTTTCTCAATATTGATTGAGTTTTCATCGACTTTTTCTTTCAATCTTTCGGATAAAATTTGATCTCTTTGCTTCTTGTAATGACCAAAATGTGGCAAAAATTTGCCACTGCTGTCGCGTATGGATTGCACAGGCTTTCCCTTTTGATGTTTGATTGTTGGGGCACTTTGTCCATTCCATCCATGCAATTTGCCATCCAAATAAAGTAAAGCCTTCAATCCTGTTATGTAATCTTCAACTACCGTGAAATCTTGGTTTTGCACAGCACTGCATACTTGCATCGCACTAGCACCTACTTGCATATACTCGAAAGCTGAATATGCAGATTCTACACCACCAACGCCGAGTATAGGAAATCCTGGCAAAGCTTGAGCGATTGCCGCTACCGCTCTCAAGCCCATCGGTCTCGTGGCGTTTCCAGAAACTCCTCCAAAAGTCGTACGTCGTGATGCGCCTACATGAGGCCAAGCATTTCCTTTAGCATCTAATCCCATCAATCCGGATACGGTATTTATTGCTGATACTCCCCAAGCTCCACCGTTTTTGGCAGCAGTAGCTATTGTCACTATATCAGTGATATTTGGAGTGAGTTTGATGAAAAACGGAATGGTTATGGTACTGCGCACCCATTTGCATATTTGAAACACTAATTCTTCTTTCTAAAATAAACCAATTAATTATCACATTCTCGATTGCATTTACTCCATACCTGTCCACAAGCTAATCCCATTCCAGATTCTCCCATTCCATGTGGACAACTCAAATTCAATTCTAACATATCCGATCCACAGTCTTGCGCCTTTTTAGCCAGCTCTTTCCAGTCTTCTTCAATAAAAGCGCACATTATCGAAGCAATAACAACTTTCTGAGGAAAATCTTGTTTTAATTCTCTAATTCCTTTCAGCCAAACGTCGCAATACTTTTCTGATATAACTTCAATGTTTAAAAATGAACCTTGCTGTGGTCCGTAGTTGTGGCCTGACGTGGTGCCTCTTACGATTCTCGGCGAAATATTTGTGACTTCATCTTTGTCCAAGGAGAAGGTTTTTGTGACCACAAAACCCCAGCCTTGCTCAAAACTACGACGAATCATCGCTGGAGAGGTAACTGGAGGTGCTGAAGCCAAACCAAAAGGATTTTCAAATTTAACACCACAAATTTCCACTGAAATGTCCACTTCATCTATGGGAGTGTAAAATAGGGGTAATTGCGGAGTTGAATCTTTTGGCAGCTTTTCTAAGGCACAATGCATATACCAAGCAGCTGTTTTCCCATCATTTACAGATTCTACAGTGGTTTCAGCAACTCCCGCTAAGTCACCACCAATCCAGACCTTTGGATGAGAGCTTTGAAGGGTTTTAGAGTCGACGATTGGTAAATTTTGATCGTTTAAGGACAGGGGAGCTAGAGCCTCGATTACTGAAATCAAAACTAAATGAATAGCTGCAAAATTTAATTGAAAGTTTACCATCAGGATCTTCTAAGCCAGAACCAAAAGCTGATATAACAAAATCAGCCTTGAGGGTAGTTAGTTGTTCATCGTCAGTAATCCATTTACCATTCTCTAGTTGCTCCGATCGGCTAAAAGTTACAGAAAAAATCCGATTGTCTTTTAATGTAACTTTATGTGGTGACAAAAATCCAATTAATTCGCAGTTTTCTGCTACAGCTGCAGATACTTCTTCTGGTACGGCTCGGATGTTTTGGAACCCTCTACGGAATACCACAAAAACTCTTCTAGCACCACATCTTAAGGCTGATGTAGCACAATCAAATGCTGTATCTCCAGCACCTAGCACCAAGACAGTACCGTGTATTTTGGGCAATGAGTTGCACATAGAAGAGCAGCCAACCTTTTTGGAAGTCTCAGCTACTAATGGTAAAAAACTTTTGGAGGTGTAGAAGCCTTGAGTTTTGGTTAATTTTTTGAATATGGAGTTAATTTTGGGGGTCGGCAAACCAATTGCTATAAATACTGCATCATAATGTTTGATTAAATCATCTACACGTAAGTCTTTTGACGATAAGGATCTTTGGTATTCTACCTTAACGCCTAAATCTCGGACTAAGTTGGCTTCAAAATCAACTACATGTTGGGGTAGTCTGAACTGGGGTATTTCCCAAGTGCTACAAATTATTTCCAATATAATAAGTGTTAGGCGAAATCATAAAATATTACCTTAAACCTCCCAAAACTTGTTGTTTCTCAAAAATAGTGACATCCTGGTATCCAAGCCTACCCAAAAAGGTAGCACAAGACAATGAAGCCGGCCCACCACCAATTAAAGCAATTTTCGCTTTGAAATTCGCAGGTTTTTTGATGTTGGGATCTCGTATTTGTGGTACGTTCATTTTGCTGAAAATCTCAACTGCAAAATGCTGCAAACCTCCTATATTGATGGGCCCTTCTTCTGCTGCTGAGAGATTGCAGCCACCAACGCACAGGTCGCTTGTAGGACATACCATTCCGCAGGAGAGCCCCAGAGGGTTGTCGCTGAGGATAGTTTTGGCAGCACCATAGAAATTCCCATTAGCAATTGAAGTGATGAAGGCTTTCACGTCCAATTGAGTCGGACAAGATTTTTGGCAAGGGGCATCGGCGCACTTGAGACATCTTGCTGCTTCTTTTAGAGCTCCCCTTTCAGACAAGGTTGTGGGTTTAATGTCGGAAAAGTCATTTTCCAATAAGTTGCAGCTCTAAAATTGATTTTTTATTCAGTTTTCCGAATTTGAGCAACCATGGATTTTTGAGTTTTTTAAAAAAATAGGAAATAACCAGGAGAAGTTCTGGTATATAAAGAGAAATGAGGATAGTTCAAGAGTTTTGAATTTTTTCAGATGAAAAAAATTCATAGCTCAAGTATCATTGTCGACATTGACTTGCGATTTGTTCTAGTCAACAAAAGACACTTCGAACTATATTTTCTCTGAATTTAACGTTAATAATGACACCAGAAAAAAAACATGTATTATTCCCAATGGCTCTCATTCAAAATTCAAAATATTTTCCGACAAAAAAAATCACGACTCAAGCTTCAAATGTCGACATTGACTAGCGGTCTTTTCCAGTCAATGAAAGATATTTTGTCATAAGGGTTTTATTCAATACGTTTATTGCTTACTTGGCACTTTTTCTCGTTCCGTTTCCAGTGCGCCTTATTCTTTTTGGTAGCAATGGACGGTATCAGGACAGAGTGTTTTCGTACTCGTGGATTCAGTGCCAGGATATTCTGAAATTGTATGTTTTATGGAAATTGCATTTAACTGGAAAACTCTTACCTCAATATCCTGAACGTCGACACTAACTTTAGCCATAATGAATGAAGTAGACTCACTCCGATCCACTTTAAAACGATAACTGTGTTGAAACGATTTGTTTTATTCCGGACAGAATTTTTGTTATCGTTTTAAGATAAGGATACGAGTGCAAATATTATAGTTCTTGCTGTCGTCAAGTTATTTATCTAGGAACAACATGAATGCATTTTATAATATCATTTGATAAGCAAAAAACTGCTTATCAATAAAACTAAATTAATTTTTTAATTGAAAGTGTGATAATCCTGTAAAGCAATAAAATAATTTATTTTTGCTCGATGCCGTAATGCAGCACTGCAAGAGATAGACGGAAAAAATACGCTCAGCTTACAAAAATCTTACCGTTTTTATTTTTGGCACGCTGATGCGGCTTAGCATTGTCATCATTATACAGATTTCGCACCACTCTAGTGGTAGAGGGTTTTTAATTGGGGGTGTTTTTGTGTAAATTGTGGTTTATTTTGAAAACGCTGCTAATATGGCTTAAGCTACAATAAAAATTATTTCTCTACATTCAACTCTAATTCTTCTAGTCCAAAAAACTCATGGAGAGCACTATGTTATTTTTAACCGTTATCGCTGTAGAACCCCTAGGTTTTCAAGATCACAGGGCTCCTTTTATCTGAGGTTCAGGTTTCGTGCGCTCTGAGGAAACTATATTCTGATTGTAATTACATAAGTGATGTCCTGGAGATGGCTCTCATATAGACGATTCCTGTCATGAATTCAAACATGCCGCCAAATAGATACGCATCTATTTCCCTTCTGTACCACCTAAGCATGTACGTCGTAACCTCCTCTCTGCTCAGAGAGCATAAATACGACGGAGGACTAGAATGTTGGCCTCTGTTGATCGAATATATTATGTCTTGTTAACGATAATGTCCACGTTCTCTGCGATTATTATGATTCTATTATTCACGTTCGAGTAATAACGACGAGTCAAATGAATAAGAAATATAATTACCAAGTTGTATTTCAAAACTAGCTTATTCTTTTCTATCCGATAGCTTGTAACATTCTAAATGTCAATATTTTTTTCACGATTTCATTGAGAGGCAAAGAGAAGAATGAATCTATTACCTGGACTTCCAATGCTGAAAAGGCTCTCCTTCCACTTTCCTCCCAAGTCAATCTCGTCCCAGAGATGTTGGACACGGAAGTGTACTTACTCAAATTTTCGTATGCGTGCTAACAGGTTCTCATCTAAAACTGAGAGGAACCTCAGTGCGACTCGAAAAGAATTTCTAGCTCTATTTTTCAATATTGGTCGTTTTGGAGGATATACATATATCGAGGGTATTGTCACCGACTGCATTATTGTTGTTAAACAAAGTCAAAAACCTTACTGGTAAATTCAAATGCTCGTTGGGCTATGAAGCTCAGAACGCATAATTTTGATTTGATAGGTATATCGCAAGGGTTGCTATAACACAGATGCCTGACTTCGCATTCCTGATCAAAACGGCCGACATCCAAAAGGACGAAAAATTCCACCGACAGTGAAGACACTCAGCCGCCCAGAACAAAGCAATCCAAGCAAAAGCCAAAGCCCGCTCAAAGGCCCTCGACCCCGACGGTCATTGTCCGAAACCCGGCTCAAACCCAGGTCTCAACCAACCTGACCGCTACAACATCGGCCTCCAAAGGACCAGTCAGATCGGGGTTCCAAATCAAACCTCCAGCGCCAGTTACAATCCCGACTCCTCTTCCTCCACGGAAAAGGATCCACCCCGATCGTTTGAAGGAACAAAAACAAGTACAATGAAATTACTGCCTACTTCAAGGCACAAAAAATCCACTTTGGCCCGGCAACCAACACTAGCAAGGTGATTAAGGGCGCGTTTGGGTTCACGCTCGGTGCACTCAGAGCTTGCACTTTTGTCTCTCTTCCGTTATTTTTGAAGCTCCGACGACGCTTGATTGTGTTTGGTTTGACATATTTTGGGCGCTCAGAGCGAGCTCGATAAACTCCGAGTTTGTGGAGTGGGCAGCTGGAGCGTGCATGCGCAGATCAGATGTGTTTAATCTGTCTGTATAACCTAACCTATTTTCCATGATAAGTTTAAGATAAATAAACAATCCTGAATTTTAACATATACTTGTTAAGTGGATAGTTTTAGCTATTTTGTTTGAATGTTAACAATCAAATAGCTAGTAAATTCTGCATAATTGTTCACTTTTAATTAATTTTTTTTCGATAGTCCTCATTACTGGTATTATTGAATATATTTTTCCAAGGGAACTTGGCAGCCTCAGAGTGTTTAGGTCCGTTTTATTGTTTATGTAGCACGACATTTTCTGCAGAATACAAACGAAAATGGGGTAGTTTGAAAATTATCAACTAACATGCAAAACAAACGAGAAAACTCTAGTGCAAGTGCGGAATGCGGGCTGGGAATCCAAGAAATATATGCTTAGAAAAATAAACAATAATCAGCTGATCGCTCAACCCAGCATTTTTGCACAAGTTTATTTGGCTTGGCACGGTGTACCCCCTGTGACGTCACGTTACTCCGTAATCGCTCTGCTCGCTTCGCCGAGCGTCAACCCAAACACGCCCAAAGCTGCACCCCACTTCAATCGAGGACTACAGGCAAATGCAAGCCTTCCTCCAAAAGAACGAATAACCATTCCACTCTTTCCCTCTCCCAGAAGAGATGCCTCTCTCCCAGAAGAGAAGAAACTCAGGGTAGTTATCCGTGGACTATTAGAAGGCTGGACGACCGACTTTATCAAAGAAGAGCTAGACAGCGAAAACTTCCATCCGACGTGCGTCATAAGGTGGTACAATGCCAAGGGAGCCCCAGTAGCGCTTGTACTGGTGATCCTGCCAATCGCCGAGATATCGATCTACAAACTCAATCACATAAACCTTATCAGAGTGAGAGTCGAAACTCAACACACCCAAGAGCGATCCACACAGTGATACAGATGCCAACTCTACGGACATTCTCATTCCAAGTGCCAAATCGTAACCGAATGCGTCAAATGCGCCGGCGACCACCTCACTTCTACCTACACCAAACCCAGGGGGGAAGCTACCACCTGTCTAAACTGCGGCGGACCGCATCCGGCATTTTACCAAGGATGTCCGAAAAACCCCAAACACCAAAGAAAGCCCGTCTACAAGCCAGCCTTCTAGTCAAACTTCGTCTGGGGCCAACAATAAAAAATGCAGCCAACCACTACCCAGCAACAGCATCGCCAACAACAATCTCCAGCGCAACCAACAATGGCAACAACTGAACGCCATTTTACAGATCCAAAACAAAAATCAGGGATTCGCACAACCCGCCGGGATTAAGACACCCCCTCCCAGGGAACCAAATCTGAGGTAGCCAAGATTCGCCTCCCACTCAAGGATCCGACATGCAGGATCACCACGACCTGGGAATCCAGAATATGCACTTTGATAAATATGGGAACATAAAATTTATATAAATTTTCCCCAATCACTAAAATGTTTTCCGTTTAGCGAGGACAAAAAAAAAAGTTGTTTTCAAGTTGATTACCTTCTGGTAGTCTCCGTCTGGCTCACAAAATATTGTTACCGCGAATTGTATCGTTAAATTTCTCGACAATTATGTGTTTTTATAATTTGGAGTACCTCAGTTCACTATTGATGATGATAATTTTTCTAATCTTGTTACTAACGCGTTTGAAGATTTGGCTAATACCTATCAAGTTCAAAAAGTTTGGTGTAGGTACAGATTTTAATTAATTATTAATTTTGTTAAGCGATCAAACCGAACAATAAGTACAGCAATCGGTTGTTAGATTAAAGACCACTTTCACCGTTTTGGGGGGAGGATAGGGGGTAATGAATACTGTCACTTTATCCCCCTTTGTTTGCAAAAGTTACGAAATCCGGCAGCTGTGTATTCACCCACATTATCCATTCTAATTGTTATTACTCTTTGGCCTTGATTTGTTTGTTCTCTGATGTAATGCATAAAGTTGTTTCGTGCATCGCTCTTTGTTTTTAATAAATAAATAATTACAAAATGAGAATGGTCATCTATTATTGTTTGGTAATACTTTTCGCTATTATTTGTAAGTATTCTGACTGGACCTCCAATATCTGAATACTGTCCAACTGCATTTGACCCTCCATATAAATACCTACCTACTCACAGTAACAGGTGAAAATTTGGCACTGTGCCCAAATTTCTCCTGTTACTGCTAAGGTGTACGTTCGTATATTAATTCAAATTTAGCTATGTAAAGGTTTCCAACTATTATGCATTCTATGTTCGTACGTCCTTTTGTTTTCATAATAGCCTTTTCTTAAGTAAAAAGTACCTACCTGATTTACATTTCCATCAATCTTCCTGAAACACTAGATTATATGTCAAATCTGGTACTATTACTGCATAAAAGTCTATTTTTTCTGATTACACTTACTGTCAGCTTACCTTTTTCACAAACACTTAGGACCGATACTTTTGCTCTCGATTAACGAATTGGATACGTTGTCAAAGTTTTGCATGGGCCAAGGTCTATAAGTATGATGTGGTTAGAGCACATTCTAACCCCTGATTATTTTTAACGGCTGTCAAATGAGAGCAAAAGTACCGGCACTTAATGAACTCGCCAATAAATAATGTGCTACTGTGGGAACACTAAAAAAGTCACTACGTTGCACAATATAACAATAACTTCGTTCACTAAATAAAATATAGCAATATCCTCATTTATTAAATATAATATAAACTACTTTTTACTATATGCTTCGCTTCCGCTTCTCTCGGGCGGTTGACCACGAATCTCCCATACCAATAATCATGGCGTGATCGTTCCCACCCCGGTCGGTACGCATCCGCTAGATTACTCATCTTCGATGCGTCTCCACACTCCCCCCATTTTTCTTTTTCTGTCTGAGAGTATCACCGCTCTACGTTGGATAGGCTTTTGCTAGCGAATGATACTACATTAGGTGACCTTTTCTCACAAAATTGAAGTGATACTGCTCCCAAAGCGACTGGACTTGCATCTGCTATAAGGCGCATTCTGCGTTGCGGATCAAAATGGGACAACCTTGGTAATGAGGCTAAAGATTTTTTTACTTCAGTAAAACTTTCCTGATGTTTTTCTGTCGATTGAAATGGGGTCCCTTTCTTAATCATCTGTCTTAGAGGTTCGGTAATTGTACGTAGGTCAGGTTATAACTTTCCTAGATATGCAACTAGTCCTAGAAAACTGCGTACTTCTTCTTTTGTCCGTGGGGGCCGAAAATTTTGGATTGATTCAATTTTCCTTTTGTCAGAGTCGATACCTTGATCTGAAAGCTTATGACCTAGGAAATTAAGTTCCTTGACTTTCCTGGCGCATTTTGCTTCATTAAGGAGAACGTTTTTTTCCTTAAATATTTCCACGACTTTCTGGAGAGATGAAGCATGGTCCTGCTCGGTAGTTTCATAAATGATAACATCGTCAAGATAGTTAAGATAATTGTTGCAGATAGATAACATTTCTTCAAACTAATCAAATATCCTTCGGAAAATTTGTGGGGCAAAGTTCACCCCAAACATCAAGCACTTGTAATGATAAAATCTTTTTGAGTGTAAGATTTAGTTAGTTATAGGTTGAAGAGATTTTGAGAAATATCTCCTATGGGCGCACCCGATAGTACCATACCTTCCACTTTAAATAAGTCAGATTTTAAGGTCTGCCGCAAATTTGAAGAATAATCTCTAGCACTTGCATTTCCATAGATTAAAACTTTTTGTTTTGACTGAGTAGCTAGATCTACAACTACTTTTTCAATATTAGAATCATTTACAATCGTTAGCATATTATATTTATGACTTGTTACTCTCTTTGAAGCTGACATTTTGTTGCTAGTAAATTTATCCTCCGATTCTCTGAGCTTGATAAACCTGAATTAAGAAGACTTAATTCAGTAATTTCATCTGCATAGCACTTCTGATCATCCATTAGAGGATTTACCTACTTTTGGTTTTGTTTTTCGGTCCACTTCGTTAATTTCTATTCCATCAGTTTTGAGTAGATTCAGGAATCTAAATTCTTATCAAATTGTGAATCATGCCTCATTTAGTAGGGCATCATCCACTATGGCCATTGTAGAAGCTTCTTTTTGGCCACCCAGTGATTGGGTTTGTACTGCAATTACATCACATCCATTTCCAAGCATCGCACGACCAGTATAGCAGTTGATTGTTTGTGATTCTGCGTTCTTTACGAAAATAGGTAACGTTTGAAAGCTGGAATTACACACACTATGTGGATTTGACATTTTGCAGTTCCCAGACAAAATGTGTACTTTTTCCTGGAGTTTCCCCAATAAAATACGTTGTTTTTCAATTTCTTTTTTATAATAGTCCTCCATATCGAACACATCGTTTTCGAAAGCAGTCGACCGCTTTCGTAATTTCATGCAATATTTATCCTTCAGGTGCACTTCTCTCTGAAAATTGGAATTTTCCACTTTCAATTTCTCCAGTGCTTCAACAACTTCTGAGCTATCCTCATGATACGCACTATTCAGTAAGCAAGCTTTCCAGCAATAGATCATGTTGCTCAATATGAGTCATTTGCTTCCTCCTAGCCCGACATGATCTATGAAATATTCTGTGACATATTACGCAGCAGTTTAATCGCAGTTTCAGCTCTTTGCTTGGGCAACAAGGAAAGAAAACCTCACCATTAATTTCAGAGTGTGAACCCATTTCCCTGTCCAGTTGCACAGAAATCAAGATATGAAATTCCAATACAGAAAATTCAATAGAACGGAAATCAATATTTCCATATATTTCAGTTCAAGTACGTCCCTGTATCTGGCCGAACATATATAGGCTGAGATATCTTGGGTCCGTTTATTCCAAAATCCAAGTCCAATTAACACAGCAATTAAGTTATTCTACGTTACTATACACTCTGATACTAATTACTTTATTAATTAACTCAAACAACTTAACTCTTCACAAGTCTTAACAATGTTCACTATCTAAATCGTATAACAACCAAACTTAAACTTAAAACTACTAACTAATACCGGCCCTTATATATCCGTAAATCTATTCATGTAAAATGCTCGAATAAAGCAGAACTTACTAGATTTTTTTCTGGAATTTTGTCATGTATTCTGGATACCGTGGCGAGACGCATAGTAACACTGCCTTCTCTTAAGGTTGATCGTCCCTATCAACTTCACGCCCATGATATTTCGTCAATCTGTCCAGATGTACAACTTTTATCTTACTCTTGGTGTTGCGCTGAACTCGATAAACCAAATCATTAATCCTCTTGATTATTCTGTAGGGTCCTTCCCATGCTGAAGACAATTTCGGCGACGACACTCCTTTCTTTCTTGTTAGATTATACAGCCACACCAAATCACCTTCTCGAAATCCGGCTGAATTGGCCTTCAAGTCGTATCTGGTCTTTATTCGGTCACTGGTCAGCTGAATATGCTCCCGAGGAAAATCCTGGATTCCCAGAAGTCGTGCCCTTACTTTGTCGGCAAAGTCTCAAATTTTTTTTCGTTCTTCTTCAGGTATTCCAAACATCAGATCGCAAGGTAACCTGAGTTCCCTTCCAAAAACGATTCTAGCTGGACTTTCACCCGTTGATTCGTGAACAGCTGCTCTCTAAGCCATTAAAAATAGAGGCAAGTGTTTGTCCCAATATCGCTGGTTCTTTTCGACCACTTTTGTGGTCGAACCTCTATGGTCTTATTAAATCGTTTTACCGTGCCATCAGACTGTGGATGTAAAGGTGTTGTCCTTGCCTTACGAACTCCCATGATCGCACAAATTTTCTTAAAGATGGCAGATTCGAAACTTCGTCCCTGATCTGAATGTAACTCTAGTGGCACACTATGACGACTAAAAACTTCATCCACTGGCACCTGGGCAATAGTGATGGCTTCTTGATTGGGAATAGCAGGAACTTCTGGTCATTTTCATTTACTGAAGTAATTCGTGATAACCAAGATGTATTTGTTATCAGGGAACGGTCCGGCAGCATCTATCGCTATTCTTTTAAATGGGAGACCGACGTTGTACTGTTTCATGGGCCCCCGAGATCTTAGTTTAGGGCCTTTACTGGTAGCACAGATGTAGCATTTTCGGCACCAGTTTTTAACGTCTTCATTATAGTGAACCCAGTAAAAACGTTCCCGAATTTTGTCCAAAGTCTTGTTAACTCCATAAAATTTCGGTCATGTATTTCTTTTAAAACATCCTCTACTCGATCTTTTGGAATAACCAGTTGGCTCTTACTGGATTTCCCATCGGCACTTTCCCAAACTCTTTTAAGTAAACCATTTTCTACGGCCAGAAAGTTCCACTGAGCCCACAACGCCTTGTAAATCAAGCTCCTGTTCGAAACTTCCCTCCATTCTGGCCTACATTCATCATTTTCCTTAAGATGTAGCATTTGTCCGATGTCCTGGTCTGCTTCTTGATCTGCTCTCATTTGTTTGGTAGTCCACTTATCATCGACGATAAGACCCGTTCTTCTCACAGCCGAACCAGTGTTTTTCTTATGTAAATCGATTCTTTGACAATGCTTGCAATATTCTTTGCATGGCCGTCTAGACAGTGTCAGCATTTTTATGCAGGTTTCCAGGTCGATGTTTAATTTGGAAATCGTATTGTTGCAATTTCTCAATCCATCTAGCAAGCTGTCCTTTGGGAGTTTTCATTTCTAAAAGCCATTTTAGAGCCACGTGATCTGTTCGAATTAGAAATTTACGACCGAAGAGATACTTAAGGAAATGGTCGACTGCTTTTAATATGGCAAGCAACTCTCTTCTGGTGACACAATAATTTCGTTCCGGCTTTGATAAGGTTCTGCTGTAGTACTTTACGACATGCTCTTGTGAATTTTGGATTTGTGAAAAGACAGCTCCAATATTGGTGTTGTTTGCATCTGTGTCCAAAATCAACATGCCTTTCTGACTTGGATAGGACAACACTGGGCTCGTACCTATAGCTCCTTTTAATTTTCTAAAAGCGGAATCGTATTCTTGGGTCCAATTGAATGCTGATTTTTCTTCCGTTAATCGATGAAGCGGAGCAGCTATATTAGCGAAACCTTCTACAAATCCCCGATAGTAAAAACATAATCCCATAAAACTCCTCAGTTCATGTTTGTCGCGTGGCTTTGGCCAATCCCTGACAGCATCTATCTTTCCTTCCATAACTTGTATAACTTGTAGGCCATATTCAGTTACCACGTGTCCTAAGAATTGTACTTTCTTTTGAAATAGAAAACACTTATGTGGATTGAGTTTTAAGTTGGCATTCCGAAAGCGGACAAAAACTTTTTTCAGGTTATTGAGATGTTCTTGAAACGAATTTCCCATGATCATGACATCATCTAAATATACCAGGCAAGTTCTCCATGCGAGGGCTCGCAAGACCAGATGCATCAGTCGCTCAAACGTAGCTGGAGCATTACACAATCCGAAAGGCATTAAGTTAAACTGGTATAGCCCGCTTCCGGTACTGAAGGCAGTTTTCTCTTTGTCATCTTTGTGTATTGCCACTTGCCAGTATCCACTTGTGAGATCCAAGGTGGAAAACCATTTGGAGCCGGATAGAATTGTTAATGTATCGTCTTTCCTCGGGAGAGGGAAGCGGTCCTTCTTGGTGACGTCATTAAGCTTACGGTAGTCCACACAAAATCTAAGACTTCCATCTTTCTTCGTAACCAATACTACTGGCGCAGACCATGGACTATTTGACTCTTCAATAATTCCCTCTTGAAGCATTTTACAATTTGGTTCTCCACTTCCTGTTGTTTAGCTAGTGGCATACGTCCAGGTGGTTGTCTAATTGGATGTGCCAATCCATTTTTGCTTGTTGTCTCGTGATAGGCATATACAGAATGTTCTGAAATTTCCCTCAAACTCTCTTCAAATATCTTCCCTGGTCTTTGATTGAAGCTCCAAACGCGTCGGTGAAG